CTCTTTCCTTTCTTCCATTCTATTAATCTTGTTTACTATCCACATTCTGAACTCAATTTCTGTCATCTCATCCATCTCTTTATGGGTTGGATCTTCAGATACCTCTGCCACATCCTTCCTTGGGGGTGTTGCTCTACTTTGGTTATTCCTACTACCGGAGTTTTTCTGCTGGCTCTGCCCCATGCTGGATTTACTCTGCTTGGCTAGGTGAGCTGGTAGGAGGAAGTTGAGTTGGGGGCTCTGGGAGTGATATTTTGCTGGCCTTTTTGGGCAAAGGCTGAGACTAGTGTCTGTATCTTTCCCCCTAGAACTTTGCCAAGGATGCAAATAATGCTACGGTCTGAGAGCCTAGAGGTCTGCTTGTCTGTATCTTGTTACAGCTGGTATCTGTTCTACCTTAGAAAATCAATTACTCTGTGTTAAGATCAGCTGTGGAGAAATAAGAGTGATTAAGTCACCCCTCCCCTTACTGGCGATGGTCGGGAAAGGAAAACCACACCTTCCCTCAACCACACCCTCAGGGTATCACTTTAGATAGTTCTTAGGTGATTGGCCCAGTTCAAATGATATGAGACAAGTGTCACAGTTAACACAATTCTCAGGTGGGGGAGTTCGAGAGGTCTCTGGCAACTGTACAGCAGGGATCTGGCAGCACAAGTATGGCCCGCTCTGGTGTTCTGTGGGGTCAGAGGGACCTGCCCAGCAAGTAAAGTATTCTAGGGAGGTTGATGCCTCCTATCCCCCCTTGTACCTTTGTCACATCCAGTCACTGGAGACCCTGAAGGGCTGTGACCTAGTTGCCCAATAAGCAAGTGTGGCAGGGCTCTGTGTCTGCCAGAATCAAAGTAGAGCCAGTGCGAGCTTCACTCAGTTACCACTCTTCGACCTCCACCAGCAAAGGGAACTGAGGCTTGACTATCTTAGGCACTCAGTGACAACTGGAGAATGTTCCACCTGAGGACAATTTGGGCCTGAGAAAATCCAGAGAGCATCAGAGATTCTCTTGTGACCACCAGTTAATTTGCCCAAATCAAGAGATCCAAACCTATTGACCCGGTCAGTACCCACTCTTGGTTGGAAAGATCACAAGGTCTCTAGCAACTAATTAATAGGAGTCTACTAGCAGTATAAGTGTGGCTCGCTCTGATACTCTGAGGAGTCAGAAAGGCCTGTTCAGTAGATAATTTGGAGTAAGGAGGCTGATGTCTCTTTCCCCTCCTTACTCACCCTTCGCTGCTGGACTCTGGTAACCTCAGTCTCAGTTAGCCCCACCAATAGTTTCTGTTGACCCAGACTCTGTAACCCAGTCCTGTCCAATGGGCGAGTGAGTCAGGGTTTTGTGTCTACCAGAGTCCAGGTAAAGTGAATGAGTTCATCAGGGTTTTGTGCCTGACAGAGTCCCAGTAATGTCAAAGCCTTCTCCACTTGGTGGCCACTCTTTATGGCCAGCCAGCAGAGATAGTTGAAGCCTATCTGCCTCTGGCACTCAATGGGAGCTGTAGAATATTCCGCTTCGGTTCTTTCTAAGCCTGGGATTTGTTTTCTTGAAGTCGTGGTTTGCCTCGTTGGGGAGGATGTGTGTTTATCTATCTTTTCTCTCAGTTCAGCTCCCCACTTTCAGCTTCGTTCAGTTCTTCCGGTAGTTGTCTCTCTCCCTGAACTGACGTTTATGTTGAAAGCTAGCTCTAGTGAGCTGTCATCCACTATTCCTCCAAATTGTCATTGAATGTGAAAATTTTATTTGGGGAATATAGCCAACCCAGAGATTTAGCAAAGTACAAAATACATTGAAACTAGGCAGACAAATAAACAGACTAAAATGCTACCAGACATACAAGCACTCCAATGCCCTGACACTCAGCCACATGTAAACAAACAGATAAAGAAGTAAACAGAGCAACAGACAAGCAAGTCAACTAACAGATCAAAAATGAAAGAAGGGAGAAAGAAAAAGAAAGAAAAAAAATAGTGATAATAAAAGATAACCACAGAAATGTTGGTCATAAAATGATAGAGCATACAAATAGGAAAGCAAACAATCCAAGAAGAGAAAGTATCAAGATATATATATATATAATAAAAAGTTAAAAATTAAAAAAAAAGGAAAAGGAGGGAACCACTAGGAAAATTAGTTTTTTTTTTTTTTTGAGTATATACAAACAAGTCTCTTTTTCTCTGTGGTAGGGTTCCAGTTTAAAAAAAAATATATAATTATGCTGTAGTATATTTTCTAGACAACAGGTGGTGCTGTGAGTGGTCCCTACACTACTACCAAAAATAGGGGAAAAGAGGGAAAAAGAAAAAATATATATATATGTATATATAAAGAATCTTTGCTGGTAGGATGCCCAGATTCTCCCTACAACAGTTCCCGCAGAATGTTGGGCATCTTGGATTAACTTCAGATGCCAGTTGGCTCACTGCAGATCATACTGAGTTCTCCGCGCTTCTGGGGGAGGTGTTATGGAGATGCCATTTTGGAGATTTTACATTGCATCTGGTTCCTGGCTGGCCTCCCACTCCTATCTGACCTCCAAACTTGGGACAAAAGTTTGCACTTTGCCAGACTTACAGTCAACTCCTAATTTCCCCTCGAACAGAAAACTGTTGTGGTCTGAGGGAAAAAAGCTGGGGCCACCCCTTCTGTGGTCTGTGTTCAGTTTATTTCCAGTGTAGGAGGGGTTGCTGCCGCTGCCGCTGCCGCCGCCCGTAGCGGCAGGACGTTCAAAAGATTTCTCAGTGTTTGTAGGAAGAGAACGGGTTCCCTGCACTCAACTCCTGTTTTCCCCTCAAACAAATTTGTGTGGTCCAAGGGAAAAGAGCTAGAGTGCTCCTTTTGCCCTCGGAATTTAGTTTATTTCTGATGGGGGAGGGGGCACAGCTTCCACCGCTGCAACAGAAAGTTCAAAAGACTCTTCAGTGATTGCAGGACGGGAACCGATTCACCCTGCCGGTCACCGCGTCTGTGCAGCTCCACACAGACTTCCAAAATTACGGGATGGATCGGTTCCTAAGCAGAGTCCCTTCCCCTCAAGTTTCTGTCTGAATGCCTGGATCCCTAACACCCCAAACTGGGTCCAAATGTCTCCCGCTTCTGGCCGCCAAATTCCGCCCGGGAATCCATGCCTCACCACACTCTCCGCGAGACACGCAAACTCCCCGCGAATTGGGCACAGGAGCCTTTCGTGGGGGGAGGGATTGGTTTCTGTCTCTCAGGAAGCAAGCCGGGACCTGGCGCCGCAGGTCGTGGATGGCGCTAGTTCAGCTGCTGCCCTGAGTTTTTTCTGGCTGACACCATAGTTCTGGGCTACACTTCCAATCCAGCAATTCACCTCTTTGCTGCTCGCCCTGCACTTCTTATCCGCGCAAGGACTCCACGCAGAAGAGATCCAATAAGCCCACTCTCACCTGAAACCGCCAGGAGAGTTGACTCAGGGATGCATCTCCTCCACCATCTTGCTCTGCCTCCTACCTCCACATTTATTAAGAGATCACAGACACTACATAAACTGATAGAAAGAATCCTTCCTTAATGCTCTTGAATTTACTCTTTGGTTTCAAATTGATTAGAATACTAATCCATTTTGTTTCTTAGTGCACGTGTATCTTTTGCCTTATTATTTATCTGTACTGGAAAAAATACTTCCCCAACCACCTCCTTCCTGATCTGCCTGAAATGTTACTCTTGTCATATTTTTCCTCATTCAGAAACCAAGTGTTTCACCTTGGTGTCTAAGACTTCCAGGATGTAGCCCAACATTCCTTAATCTTTTCTCCTATTACTTGTCTCCTCTTTTCTTATGTATTATCCGAATTGTACTTCTTTTATGAGAAAACACTATACTTCTTTATATCTTTACCCTGTTGTACTCTGCTTTTGTGATAGAATGCACCCTTTTCCTCACACCACCCACACCATATTTAACATTCGTCCAAACATTCTCCAAGGTCCATTTAATGTACCACTGCCTCCTCTGGGCTTTTGCTTTAAAATCTCTTGCCATCTTTTATTTCAAGAATGTGTTATTTGTCATTTTTCCTTTTACTCCTTAATTAAAGGATGTATTGAATAAAGGATGGTATCTTAGTCACATTAGTCATTATCCTAGTGTATAGTAAGTATTCTGAGTCCTGACGAACTTTTATGGGGTCTTTTAGGCTCTAAGATCAGTATTCTGCTTAGAACACATTTAATTTGTCTTTTACCAAATAGGTCAACCCTTCAAATTCATAGTAATGTTCTGTTTGTGGTCACTACATTTTAGTGTCATTGCCAATCCGAAATATTTTAAAACAGTTTTAAGCAATTCCATAATTGGTGTACTATGCTCTTCCTCTTTTTATGTATTTTATCTGGATATCCTCTATAGTGGTTAATACTAGGTATCAACTTGACTAGATTAAGGGATGCCAGAGGGCTGGTGAAGAATTGTTTCTGAGTGTGTCTATGAGGGTGTTTCCAGACAAAATAGATGCAAGAATCAGGGGACTGAGAAAGAACTGCTTTCATGATGTGTAGACACTGTCCAGTCTGCTGTGGGCATGGCTAGAACAAAGCAGGCTGAAGAAGGGGGGCAGTCAGGGTGCTTGGTTTTTTCTTTGCACTGCTCTTTCTCTCTCTTTGGGAATAGAGCCTTTTTCTTCTCTTGCCCTTGAATGTTAGTCTCTAGGTTAACAGCCTTTGGATTCTGGGACTTGCACCAGTAATATCCTGGGGGCTCTCAGGCCTTTGGCCTCAGACTAAGGGCTGTGCTATTAGCTTCCCTGATTTTAAAATTTTGGACTTGGACTGAGCCACAGTATCCTCTTCCCTAGGAGACACCACTGGTTTCTCATTCTCCAGTTTGTAGTGGCCTCTTGGGGCATTTGCATTTGTTATCCTGTGACCATATCTCCTTAATAAATTCTTGTTCATACTGTGTAGATATATCCTATTGCTTCTCTCCCTCTGTATAACTCTAATAATTCCTCTGATTTCCATTTCTCTTCTTTGAAACTAGGCCACTGACATCTGTGACCCAAACCCGATCATGATGCTTATGCTTTGCGTCTACATGTATGAAAGGCTGCCAACATACCTGCCCAAAAAGGTGGTGCCCTTTAATTGTACTCTACATGACACCGTGATGAGACAGGTAAGGATATCTATGAGACAAAAATTCACATGGAGTTAAACACTTAAGCAGGTTTTCAGATATTTCTTTCCCAACCCCACATTAATAGCAAGTTAATAGTATGTATTAATTTTAATAATAATCTTTTAATTATAGTTTTGTTAAAATTGTATATAATTTTGTTACATTGAATAAGCCTTATCTCAAATGTTGCTCCTTCTAAGCCAAAGGTCTGGATGTGTGAACAGGGCACCAGCAGTTTCTCCTTAATAATAATTAGCACTTCTGATAAAATGATGACTCCTTCCCATTCTCATTTTGCACAAAATATTATTATTTTATGTTCACCGCTTTGGTAAGATTCATGTTTATTCTTTTTTCTCGGGATTTTTTATGTATCCCTCTTCATATTTAATTGGGGAGGTGAAAAATTATATATATATGTATTTTTTGTGCAAAACTTATTCATATTTAGTCTTTAAAAAGTATGTCCTAGTGATCTATGATTTGTAATTGTAACTTCTTTGAGAAAATCACTGTTTAGCCTCCCTAATGGCATGAGTAATGGTTGGTAAGGATTTAGTTAAAAATTGGGAAAAACCAGGTTTGTCTCAAAGTGTAAAGGGCCAATTTAGGTAAAGAAACGCCTCACCTTCTAATTGTTTTTATTAGTAAATATAAGATACAATCTCTTTCATTTAATTTTATTATTTTCTTTTTTTGTAAGAAAAAGAAATATGAAATCCTGGAGAAATTTTCAGCAGTATCTACTATGATAATTTTCTAATTGGAATGATATTCAAGGGCTTTGGATACTAACTGGCCTTAACCTATAATTATGTGAGAGAGGATTTCTGACTTAAAATAAAATTTCAGAAGAGTTTAAAAATGTTTTGCTTAAACCGGCAGGGGAGAAGATTCTAGAATTTAGTTAAGTAATTATTTGTTATATTTAATTCTTATTACGCATTCTCTAATTCTGGCCACAAGTTTGTGTTTCTTTATACCATTTAATTGTTGCCATTTTTTAAACAAAATTTTTTGGTTTCATTGATTTCTTTGCCTCATTTTCTTTTCTTTTTTTTTATTAAATGATAGCTGTATACATTAATGCAAGCATGAGTTACAGTGTAGTGTTTTCATATACATTTTGAAATACTTTCATCAAGCTGGTTAACATAGATTTCATGTCATTTGCATAGTCATTGTGTCAAAACATTTATATTCTAGTTCTAGAAAAGTTCACTTGTACCCTTGTTAGACAGATA